TGGCTCAAAGTGTGACTTACATACCACTGTACTTGCATTTCCACATCTGTTAAATGGAGATAATAAGTAGCACCTGACTTGTGGAATTAATTATTTAAATGAGGACTAAATAAACTAATATACTTAAAGAACTTAAGATATTGGCACAAATAAACCTTCAGTGAATGTTAACTACTATTATTAAGGCAACATACAGAAAAGTAATGAATAGGCTAAATTACTACTCAGTTGTTAAGGACAATCATAAATGTACTGTACTGAAAAGTCTTTATAATTTAGGTATATTAGAAAGAAAAAAGAGACCCTAAAAATGAGGACTTAGGCCTCTACAATGCTCCCGATAGAACATGGAACTAATGAGAACTAGATACATGCTCCTCATGGTCCCATGATCAAAATATTACAAAACAATTAATGAGTGCCCAAGCTGGCTTACTTAGCTATAATTATTCCATTTCCATTTATTGAGGCTGGTCACATCAGAAAAGCCAGGCCAACCCCTTTCTGTCAGAGGAGCCCATTGGGAGAAAGGCTCGGTGAGGACCTGAAGTGAGGAGCAGATGCATGTGGATTTATTTAAATTGTCAGACAAAAGCTTTTTTCTATACTAGTTTTCTCTTTAGTCATTTTGGGGTTTTTTAAGATGCAGTTTTGAAATATTTTTTCGAGTTAGAGAACTTTAAAAAAAGCCCTCCAACAACATAAAATTAGAACAAACTAAATATATGCATTTGTATTTTGATCAGAAAACGTATTTTTGTCAAGATACAAAAATACATTTTACAGTCAAAGAATAGAATTCATATTTGTGGCATTTGTAGTCTATAGACCCAGACTATTATTTATTTTTAATTTTTGGGGGTGAATATTTAGACTAAGTTTTTGAATGACTAACTCTAAAAAGCATTCTAAGACATTTTTTTCTCCCTCTAGGGAAATCATCTTTTAGGGTTTTCTTTTCAAAATGAATAACTTTACATGAATATGAAAGTTGTATGTTTTTATAGTAAGTCTCCACANTGGTTAATTTATTTACTGTGTTGATGAGTTGTTTAAAAGGAAAAACAGGTTCCAGTGTTCTAAAATGCTGATTCCAGTACTCAGAAAATGCACTAAGATATTTAGCAAAAATAAAGCTACTATATTTTTAATTAAAGAGGGGTAGGCAGAATAATATACATCCCCTAGAAATGTTAGGAAATCCAGTCCAAACAATTGCCTAGACCTAGTGATATTGATTGCCTGGTTAATTTAATCACACTAAATAAAACTTCTAGCTCATATTGATCATATTGGACACAGGCCGTCTGAAATTAAGTAACTTCAGCAAACTAATTTAGTTCAGTATCAAGTCATATATATCTTAACGATCAAGCAATTTCACTGGATATTTGTGTTCCTGAAGATAAAAAGGATGATTTTCCAAATCTTGGGAAACTGGGCCCTCCTCAAATCTCAGAAGGAATCCTCCCCAACTATGACCAGAGAAATTCATGATCTTCCCTTTCTTAGGAGAAAAGATCTTCTGCAATAATAATGCTAATTTTTTTCTTGCTACTTACTGTGGGCTAAGGTCTGTTCTACATGCTTTATACAAATTATCTCAATTATTCCTCACTGCAACTGTATTAAAACAGGATTATTATTATCCCCATTTTACAGAGAAAGACACTGAGGTCAGAATGATGGAGTACTTGCCCATCACACAGCTGATGAATGGTGGAGCCAGGAATTACACAGTGTTAAGGATTACCTGAACCTATTGGCAGATGCTGAGCTAAAGTTGGCGTTTCTGGAAATCATCAAAATATATCTACATTTTCAGCTTCCTGCTAGATCCTTTTCTAGAAACCATTCTTAGAGATATGCAGAAAAGTGTTAGAATGCACAGCCAGCTTAAAAGCTAGAGTTTGCATTTAAGTCTTCAAACTGGCATAAACAAGGTTTTTATCTATGTGACTTTGTAGGGTTTGTTGTACCAACTCAATAGGACTATTTGAAGGGATCTTAGAGATCATGGAATCCCCTCCCACCACTCATTATTTATAAATGAGATCACTAAAAATTGGAAAGATA